GGATCTATGGAAAGTCTTTAGTAAAGAAAAACAAACAAAAAATCTCTATTTTCCCAGCGGTGCTCATTACTGATGCAGACTTGCTGTCAAATTGGCACTACACTGCAGAAAGATACGCAAATCAAAAGCCTTCATATACTGGAAACTTAACAATTTAGCAAGCAGAAATACAATCATCTAGCTAAGAACAGAGAGTAAGCACCAAAAAAAAAAAAAAAAGGAAATTGCTTTTCAATTTGAGTTTTCTTAATATAATTTAAAAAATGTAAGAACATTGTCTTGAAATATACTGCCAGATGATCTGAATTTGTTTCTACCACCATAGCTGCCTTCTGCTTGAAAAAAATACACGTTAAACCATTGCAATTATCTATTTTTTTTTAATTGGAAAACTGCACAGAATTAGTTGCAAGTATAAATTTTCACATCAAACTGCTTAAAATGTAATTCTCTAACTAAAAAATATATGTGTATAAAATTAGCAATGTTGAAAAGTCTAAACAGATCAGTTTTCATAGTAACCAAGTGTTCAGTAGTAAATATGCCCCACCTCTGCTAGGAAGCAGCAGATGAATTCTTGCAATTCTCTTTGTAATTCTGATCCAAGTCCTTCTAAAGCCAGTGGAAAGACTTCTATTAAGACAGCTTATCAGGACTTCATTTTACATGTGTTTTTCTCACTAAGATGAGTGTTTATATCATCTTGTTATTTCACGGCTTCCAATCTCAACTCTACAGTCTGTAGAGAGTTGGTCTTTTTCTTGAAACTGAGATAGTATATTAAAGAGAGTGCTATTGGACAGCAACAGACATTTATTACTGGTCCATGGCAAGATTCCAAATTGTATCAATTCTGAGAATATACTTTCAATCAATTTTGAGATAACAAATCATACTGACCACAAAAAATGTCCTTTGCTGACATTGATAACGGAGTTGCTTTCGACAGGCAATTCTTGCTCTTGCAGGTGTGCTCTCACAAGGCTGGGAAAGTCTTTATTTTTGGGGGTTTCCATGGTAATGTTGGCAGTCCTAAATGGAAACAAAGATATTTAAAAGGAGATGTTAAAAAGAAGCGTGATTCAAATGTGACTGAAGTTTGTATTTTTGTAAGAGTAGAAAGCAGAACTGTTGTTGTAAATGGTTTTAAAAATTTGATCTAAATCAAATCCAAAGACAAATTCAGGCACATTTTTACAAACTGTTGTGTGTTTGGCATCATAAAAAACCACTTTCAGGAAGGCCTTTTGAGAATTGGCAGGCATGAAGTGACCCCTTTCGTGTTTTGTTCTCTGAAATAGGCAGCCGTTTTCTACAACTTGAATTTCCGTACAATCAAAATAATCTTTGCAAGGGTGAAAACGGTTGCTGCCAAAGGTACGTAGCACAAAAACCCGAGCAGTTTTCATTTACTTTAGAAATAGCCTTTAAAGATTGTGAATGCTTGAAACGAAACTTACACCACTGTCTTAACAAGAAGCCGTCTGCAACGCTGAAGAGAGGTTTTTAAATTTACTTTTTTCCCCCTGAAAATTGCGTGCGGTGAGGGAGCCTGCGCCTGCGTTGCAGCGGGACGGTTGCCGGCGCGAGGGCCTCCTCCTGCTCTGCCGCACAGCCATCGCCACGCGCTTCGGGAGAAGGGGTCTAGGAGGGCTCCGCAGCTACCCCCAGGTGTAAGGCCCTGCCCGGTTTTGCGCAGCCCCCTCAAGAGCAAGAGCCAAAAGGACGGAGACGGCGACACAAGTCCTGGCACAGCGTTAGCAAGCCAGGGAAGGCGGCGCAGATCCCTGGAGACCTCCAGAAACACCGAGGGGAAGCCACCTCCTTTCTGCTCTCACGACAGGCTGGGGAGAAGCCCCGAGGCAGGAAAATGTCATGGCTGCCTTTCCCTTTGCTTGCTTTCCCTTCAAATAGAAGACAAGCCATCGGATGGCCCGATGCTAAGGCCGTGTCAGGGACCTGCTGGCAGTACTATTTATACACCATGGTTGAAAAATAGCACTTGAAAGTGCCTCTGTTATAAGGTCCTGGTTGAAAAAAAAACCAATTCCGCATCTGTGAAAACTTCCAAAAATTGCTTTCCTCAGTGCAGAAGCCGGATATATATTTGTTGAATCAGGCTCTTAATTAGGTAGGATGCAAAGGGCTTTCTCCCCCCGCGACACTTCCTGCTCAGCGACAGTGTCCCCCCGCTTTCTGCCAACCCTGCTAAAATTTGAGGTGGGATTTTTTTATGGTTATTTATTTCTACAAAGATACTGTAGCAATCAGCGACTCATCTCCTTTTTTTTGCCCCCCTCCCCCTTTTAATTCTGATATTTTTTTTTCAGGCCAAATTTCTTCCCGCTTACTTGGGCTGGTCTTTTCGTTAAAACGAGTTCTTCAGATGACCCCCAATCGTTTGCCCTTCCTCTCCATTCTTGGTTATGCCAAAGCTGTTAGTTCACAACAGGAAACCAATAGCTTGTGCTATCAGGAGACATTTCCTTCACAGCACAAAACGTCTGAATAATAATTTCAAGCAAGGCTTCACCCATTTCCTGTGAAAGGAGGGAAGTTTGCCTATCCCAGTCCCTCAGAGCGCTTTGTTTCCATCCCTTCATGACGTAAGGCTTTCTGCATGGGGAAGATGGATCGTTTTCCCTTAACAGCACTAAATTCAGCATCCTGTGCACAGTTTTGGTGCTGCTCTTCAGCAGTGAAACATGTAACATTTACAAATAATAAAAAGTTTTGCTGTAGTTTATGCTTGTGGCGTCTCTTTTGAAAAATAAACTAAACTTTTGGTGTTTGGAGAATAACTACAATGAAAACATGAAGGCTAAAACCAGTCTAGTTTATTAAATGTTTTACTTCCAGACTATTAGGAGTACGGCTCTAACGACTGCGTATGCTCCCAGCAGATGGGAGAGCCCACCTGGTAGCAGCTCTTGCCGAGCACCAGAATGCCCCAGACCGAAAGGTCTGTCGTGGCACTGCATTTTACAGGAATACTGCAGGTAGAGGAACTCAGGCACTGACTCAGTGCATCAGTTAAGCACCTGCTTAACTTCATCCCTGTATAGCAAAACACTTCCTTAAGCAAATACTGAAGAGTGACTAACTTTTTCAAGTGATATGCGACATCAAAGCCTTAATATAATGGCAATGCTAAATTGTTAAAAAGGGAATTGGCAAGCAGTGCACATGTTAGGTCTTCAGTGCTGGAACATTTAGGGATATTTAGGATGCATAATTTTAGGCAAAAAATGTGTTAAGCTATCCTTTATCTGAACAAAGAAGGCACAGAAATCGCTACGTGTGAGCTACTTTTTTCCATTGAACCCTACTGTGGTGTTTCTTAACCTATTTTTGTTAAATGATGCAACCTGGAATCAGGATATGTGTTTTATTTGATTTTCTACAGTTTTTTTTTAACAAGCTTAATAAGGGCTTGTGAATATGATTTTTTTAAATCACCTGTTGCAGGCAGCAAGAAAGCTTAAAAGAAGAATTTGCCAAAGAATTTGAGGACCTTAAAAATAGCTCTAGTAACAATTGTTATTACAGTGCAGTCTTAATTACATCATTTGCTGTCAGACAAAAATCATAATAAATCTCTCTCCCCATTATTCTGAAGACAATAAAATTTTTATTACATATGTGTCCTCTGCATGTTTGTCATTTAAAATATTTGGGCCAACACAAAATACTACATTTCTCATTCGAATGCACTCATTCCAATCAAGAAGCCCAGCAGAGTCAACTTACCATTTTATCCCCTGTTTTCACAGGCATCGCGTGCATCGTCTGCCTCCTCAGCCGGGATGCCGCAGGTAGCTGGCACCTTCCTTCACACAGATCCTACTCATGTTTGTGTTAGCCAAATAAACCATTTTAACAGCTCTCCATCAGGAGCTGTGTTTAAGAATAGCAGCTTTGTGTTGCAACGTCTCTTGCTTGAAAGGCAGGAATGTGGTTTCCTTGCTGAAGGTCAGCAGGGCCTTTGCATTTTGTGTTTTCCAGTCCATTTCCAGAATTACATTTGTCAGTATGGAGCCAAGCAGCAGAGAGTCTCTGCACTAGGCAGATTCACCCACCCTTGCCACCTTCAGTCTTCACTTTCTTTGTTGGTGGCTGTAAGGTGTGAGACTGTGTCAGTCTATTCATATTTGTTTCAGAGGAACTGTAAAAATGGATTTTGATTCACTTTCAGTTGGTGCTGAGGAGAGCGTTTCCCCTTGAGTGTCTTTCACAATCAGAAAACTGTTTCTGAAGGAAAAAAAAAAGTCAGTAAAATATCATTCAGTCCTTTTTCTAATCGTTCAACCTTAAACTGGGACATCTCTTTGAAAACCTTCTTTGAAGGTGATACCCCAAGGCTATTGTTGCATCTTGCTTTTATTTTTTTTCCCTTCCCAATTTTGAACCACTTTTCATCTGGGAATTTGGGTATGACTAAGTTACATGTAATTGTCTAACAAAACCCCAACTTTTTGTTGATTTAATGGTTTGTAAGGCCAAATCTGGAAACCCTTACTTCGTTCTGGCCATCTGTCTCCAAAGCAGAATACCAGGTGAGCTGGAGGATGTTCTGAGAATAGCAATGCAAACAACTGATGCCCAAAGACACCAGCTACTGTAAGAGTGGACATGCTGAAAATGTCTAGTTGTGCCTAATGGCAAGAAAAGCTAATGACAGTGTCATTCTATTTGCTGTATGAGAAATACAAATGCCAAGGTATAAACATGCATACTTATGAAAAAAAAACCCAGGCCAATCATCAGAGAAAGCTTCCTGTTAATCCCATGCTTTAATATCACAGAAAGATCTTTCATAGCAACTGTGGGAACACAACGCCCTTTTCAGTTTGTAAAACTACATTTGCAAAGCACTCTGAAAAGGTCTGTGGGTAATACCACAAACTGGCAAGAAGTGACACCTAAGTTCCCTTCTTGCTATTATTAACTTGTATAATACTGTATATACTTCAGTAAACTTCACTAAAAATCCCACGAGAATGGGAGTTTGTGCAGAGTATTCATATTTTGCTGTGGAATACATCGCAGAACTCTATCCATCTGTCAAAACATGCGAGTACATCATGCTGAAACCTCATTCTCTAGCTGGTGAGCTGAGACTCAGGAAAATTAGGAGACTTGATGAAGGCCATACAGGAACGAATAAGAAAGAAGAGGCTAATGTAGCACACTCTGTGAGCCATTACAGAGGCTGTAACTGCATGTACCAGCTTCTGTGACACATCACACAGTGCTAGCGTGCAGATGGCTCTAGTACTCCCTATATTATACATATGAAGATCGGCAGAGGAGGTCTTGCGTCCTCAGTGCAGCAGCAATGATGCTCTCTGATATGGCTGGAGGAGAACCGAGGAGAGGTGATGCAGAACAACCCTAACAGACCAGGCAATGCCAGTAGCTGTGAATGATCAAATGTCCCTACTAAACTCACAGAGGCGTGAAAGGAGCTAATAGCTGACATGTTTAACACTGGAATTTTCAGGCAAGTAAAATCGTAATTTTATCAGAATAGTGATACAAACATTGTATCATATATAACTCTTGGCCTATAGTCCTGTTAGGCAACAGAGCAGTCTTGGAAACTAGACACCTTTATAATCTATGCCCCTTAAATAGGTTAAATCCCTCTGACACCTTTCATGCCAACATTTCTTCTGCATAGTGCTCAGGCCCTCATTATGTTTGACATTTTATTTCCACTATTGAATTGTCTTTTCCTTGTTTTGCTCATTCACAGTGCATACTGGCCAACCGACAAAAATGTAATTTGAATGTTTTAAACTAGACTAATATATTTTGACTGTATCCTCGCTGACACAGAGGACTGTAATGCAGCCAGCTGTTCATTGTTACTACATTAAATAAAGTAGATCTCCCTTGTGATATTCTATATACTAACAGATGATGTAATGAAATTCTGGCCATGTGAAAATTCTATCGTTATACCACCCAGCATCCCCATGAGCAGTCAGAGGCCAAGCCGCTTGTCTGAAAAGCCCCGTTAACACATCATCCTTACATCTCAGAACTGTAACTGGTTTAGCCTGATGTGCTGCTCATTTTCTGTCCTGCATGCTCCAGTAGTACAAGAGCACTTTTCTCTGTGCTGGTGAAAAGGTGGACACGACAAAGACTGAAGGCTTTGTGCTGTTATTACGACATATATCTGTACACGTGGGGTGTGAAGAGCTGATTACAGGAAACGTGATCTACATGTGACAGCTGGGACTGTTCAGGTAGGCAAAGACAGAGAAAGAGGGCGAGAAAGCCATGCATAAAGAGAAGGAAGGTGTATCCTCCAGAATAACTTGGTGAAGCCAATTTAACAAGTTTCTGCCCTGTTCCTTCCTTCCTTCCCCCATCCCCACCTGTATAGCTGTTGGATCATGTCAGTGATTCAGTTCCTAACGCAAGCCCACACACAGTTGTACAATCACAGCTAAGGAAACAGAAATGCAGAGTGGGAGTAAGACCAAATGCAGACTGTTTGAAGTCTACTTCAACACTAAAACCAGCTTATCACAGAGCTGGACCTGAAAGTGTGAAAAGAAAATAAGCAGGGAGAGGAATGAAGGAAAAAAGGTGGATGAGCTTTACCTTAGACACTGACTACAAACAGAAATTTTACTCCTGACCTCTGCAACTTACCCACATGTACCAGGGTGGCAAGAGGTACAATGCAAACAGACTGGGGAAAACTGGGAGCAATGAACAGCCTGTGTATTCCCACTGCGCTTGAGGAAGCAGGAAAGGAGATAAGAGCAAGCACTGTTTTTACCAGGGGAATTTTCAGGCAAGATAAACCAAATCAAAAATAGCAAATTAAATTTAAACTTTCAGAATTTACAGATGGGCACTCAGTTCTTCAAAGGATAATTTATGTGTGGGATACCTTCCAGCTGGTCGCATGCTGCACAGGAGACCTGGTTGTTGAACGGAGTCACTTAAACAAGCCCATCAGCTATGGAAGTAGGACACTGCAATGCAATGCTAGCTGAATTCAGTGGAAGATGTACAAAAAATAGGCCTTCTGTAAATTTGTCCTTCTGTTAGATGTGAAACACTTATCTCTTGCCCTTTTTTGAGCCTGTACAACATGCTGTTGGTGGAGAGCAGATGCTGTCTGGAAAGTGACAAGGCGGAAAGGAGAAAATTCTGGGTTAGTTGGGTACGTGGGGAGAAAAGGCCTGGGAACAGCCATGCCTAGCAAATGCTGGGGCTTCCAGGGTAACCCTGCATGATGCTGGGCTTTCTGGGCTTTCAGAATAGGACCTCTAGAGCAAGAACATGAGCATCGCATCATACCTGACTAAGATGTTGGTCTCTTTTTACGAAACTTGAGTTGTTGGGAGATCCCCAGTTCTTCCACTGCATGATCAAAGTTCAGCACTGCTAGCAACGGTGAGGGCAGATTTCTCTGGTGAGAAGGATGCGAGTTTGTCTCCTGTTGAATTGAAAGGCAACAATTAGCTGAAATGTTTGCAGAAACCGAAGTTAGGAGAAATCCTAAGAACGCATGAGGAGAGCAGATCTTCGTGCTCCACAAGGCAGAACTGTTTGGGAGTTACCCCCATTTGCCTGAACCATGCAGCAGGGCCCTGCAGCCCAGAGCACAGCCACACAGATGTATCAGCACATGATAATTAGTCTTATGCAAAGCACCACTGGCACAGCTGTATTGCTTCTGGCTCTGGAGAAAGCTTGCTTGGAGGCAGAACAGGTATCTCTCCTATGCAATGCAGACATACCCCAAGAGCCACCGTAAACAGGTTAAAGCAGCCTGGATGCATCTCTGAGAGAACTGAGATGATGTTTATTTTCATTATGTACATAAGACAGGCAGAAACAATTAAGTCTGCAAACACCAGTCCCATGTAAGCTTTGCCCAATTAAGGCTTTCAGACGAGGCATAAACTCTCATCTGAGCTTGAGCCTTGCTATGCTGCAGTTTTGCCTAGGTGCTTATCTGTTCTGTCCTAGAGGATTCACTGCAGAAATACCTGTGGGCTTTCACTAGTGAGGATGGAGAGGAGGAAAAACACCATTCAGCATTTCCCAAGTGTGTTCACATCACATGCCTTTTACATGTTTACCTTGCTTGACCATAGTCCGAGCCCAAACTCAGGCTAACCTTGAACCTTGCAAACTAAATGCAACCCTGCTAGTGCAGCTGGAACGGGTGGGAGAGCCAGATAACACAGGGAGAGCTCAATCTACAGTGTCTTACAAAATGAAAGAAACAACTACTCCCCAAAACCTGCACTGTTAGAGCTACCCTTCTTGCTACACTGACATTATTTTATTCTGGAAATGGCAGTGAAGTATGTTCTACCACCGCATATCATGAAGCTGAATGCAAAAACCTTGCAGTTTTAATGCCCAAATAGCATACGGGATGCTGACACCTTAAGGACGGAGACAGACTGCTGGCTCATGCAGCCTTGCTTCCAGCCGAGCAACAGCCCTGGGGAACTATGGAGCAGAAAAGCCACTGTATGGATCTGCTCCCACTCCGTAATCTGCCTGGAGAAAATAAATAGATATTCCCTTCCTGTACCCGGGATGGCGTCTGCTGTGAGTAGTTCTGAAGCTGTCCAACTCCTGCAGAGCCACGTCTACGCTTGAGCTCCCAGGAGAGCTGCTGACCCAAATGTAGCACCTGGGGGAATATTGTGCTAAAATTCCCACGAGCAGATATGACTGTGAAGCTGCGGGTGATCCAGGATCCGAGCCTTCATGAAACAGTTTTATTTCTGCAAGATAATTAGCAGTGTAAATGAATTGGCAAGAACCATTTTGCATGAAAGACCAATAAAGCAATTCTTAGTTCTTGACATGGCCTTTTAGATTGTTTAATCATAAAACACATGCTTTACATAATCTTTGTTTTATTTTTTAATTTACTTCATTTTTAAACAAACAGAACTCCCCTCCCCACTCCTCCTGGAAGATAGATAACAATTTATGAAATATTTTGGCAGAAGACACAGATTATTGTATTTATTGGCGACATTATAATGAAATAAAGTAAGAGGGAAAAAAACTAAAGCTATTAGAAAGAGGTCAAATTCCAGCCATTTCTCTAGAGTAAGGTTCAGTTTTGAAGTCATTTTTCCAAAGAGGTTTTAAATTTACAAAATCTAATGAGGTTAATTTGAAACTGAATGAGCTAATCATTGGTTTTATACCCTGGACGCTGCAAATGTATTACTTCCCTTAGTGTGATAATGTTATTTGTCATCTTTCTTCTGCTATCCTGTCAAAAGAAACCTTTTGACTTCAGACTTCCATGTTCATGAAAGCTTGTGCTGCTCCATTGTCTTAGCACTGGAAAAACCATCTCTGGAAAGATCACAACAGTCTGAGTTGTTACGGGTGGAAAATAGGATGCTGCCTGCTGAAAAT